TAAAAATATAAAAAAAAAGACCAGATCTTTTATAACTGTATTTAAGTTATAAATTTCATTACTTTTATAACCATATCTTACTTATAAATTTCAAGACCTATATAGCTCTTGTTACTTATATAAAGTTAAAAAATTATAACGTAATTTTAATTTGTATTAGTTTTAAAACTTAAATAAATTGAAATTACATTAACTAAATCAAAGAAGCTATTAGACAAGATCAAAAAGTTTAATAAATAAATTTAAACGTAAATTAGATAAAATCTAAACGCTTTATATACGTATAATAATCCTATATTAGACGTCTAAAATACATTTGAATATAGCCGTTTCATGGACGTTTGTTCTAAACGTTAATCTAAATTTTGTTCTAAACGGATAATCGACCATTTGTCGAAACATTTGTCGAAACGTTTTTTTGACGTTTAATAGACATATGTGAGTTTACTGGGTTCTGACCAATGACTCTATTACTACATAATAATATAATAAACGTTTATTAAATGTCGATCGAGCGTTTAGAATAACGACTTAAATTAATCAATATTGTAAACGTTTGATGGACGTTTAATAAACGTATATATTAAAAGATTTTAAGCGTAGATTTTAAATCTATAAATGCTTACGTTTAGTTAATGTCGATTATAGGTTTACAATGTTGACTAATGTAAGTCGATATTCTAAACGTTAGATCGACGATTATTAAACGCATATATAAAAAAGTTTGAAATATACATTTTAAATCGACCGTCAATTTTTAGTCAATAATAGATCGCTAAACCTTTTATCCATTTTTCAAACGATTTCGACTAAATATTGACAAATTCTGAACCAATCTGTGTTTACTGGGTAAATTCTTGTAAAACTTGTTGAACTTGTTTGTTTGTTTTTTAATTATTTGTCATGTTATCTAAAAAGACTTATTTAAATATATTGCTATTACTAGTATGGTACTAATGAAATCTTGTTGCTCCCATATTTAGAGCCATTTTGATATCGATATCTTAAAGCTATAAGGTTAACTATCCTTTTTTAAACAAACAAAATTTTCAATCTAAAATTACAAATTCTAATAAAGCAATAACGATTTGAAATTTTGAAACTCTTTATCTCAATTTCAACATAACACATCAACATAATCACAACGTTAGAAAGTAAACACAGATTGGTTCAGAATTGGTCAATATCTAGTCGAAATCGGTCAAAAAATGGATAAAACGTTTAGCAACCTATTACTAAAATTTTTTTTATTCATTTATCAAAATATCATAAAAAACCATAAAAAATGCATTTTAATTTTTTTAAAAAAACGTAATTTTTTATGTAATAAAACCAAAAATAACAATTTTTTTTCGAAATGAATATTACTTTTGAGATTTCTGTATAGTTTCGTTCATTTGAGTACCAGGTTGACATATTTTTGAAAAAACTTTTTTTTTCAAAATATTAGGGACCCATTAAGTATTCGAGGGTCTTGAGGGACCCATTAAAGTATTTTTTATATATATTATATATATATTTATATATATAATATTTTATATATATTGTATTTGATCTGACGCCTCACATCAGTGCAATAAAAAACCTTCAATGCCTTATGACTCTATGGTTCATTTGTTATGTTTTGAAGGTTGCATTTTGTAGTAAAAATACTAAATCAATTGCTTAGAGATCTTCAACGTTAGGATGAGCAGTAATCTATGATTAGAGTAACTTTCAGCATTAAACTTTGCATTAAGCAAAGATTAATTATCTTACATAACCAGTAAAAAGTTTAAAATCTACCCAGGGTTTATTTTGGGAAAGTTTTCGATTCCTTTGAAACGTAGTGGTTTTTATGTTTTTCCAATTATAAACATAGGCAGCTTTTCACCAACCATATTTCCTACTGATAAGCCTGTTGAACGAGCTTTGCTCAATTTTTCTCCTGCACATCGTTCAACTTTTAGATGAAAGGTTTTGTTGGAGGCTGTTGATAAAATAAGCAAAAATCGTCAACGTTGTAAATATTCCTTTTACTCATACATTGAGAGAAACGTAGGCAAATGGGTTTGCTCCCAACTTGATGTCTTTTCTTCTATATACAATCAGAAATAGTTTGTAAAACAACATTATGTTTTTATTTTGAGACAATCAAGCCACCCTTCCAGCAACGGATCATTTTTTAGTGTTTGAGATTTAACTTCCAGACATGGCCTACAAACATTTGTATATTTATACTTATATCAAATTATGATGCTTTGCAAAAAATTGCGATGATTGGAGAACACAAAAGCCCTTACATTTTTACCTTACACCCCTAACATGAAGGGCAGCAAGTTGATAAAGTATTTTTTGTACTATTCCCAACCCAAACTATTCCCAACTTTTTTTGTACTATTCCCAACCCAAACTATTCCCAACTTTTTTTGTACTATTCCCAACCCAAACTATTCCCAACTTTTTTTGTACTATTCCCAACCCAAACTATTCCCAACTTTTTTTGTACTATTCCCAACCCAAACTATTCCCAACTTTTTTTGTACTATTCCCAACCCAAACTATTCTCAACTTTTTTTGTACTATTCCCAACCCAAACTATTCTCAACTTTTTTTGTACTATTCCCAACTTATTCATATGGCAGATTTAGATTCTTTAAATTTTCAATCAGAAAGTTTTAAATATCAAGTTGCTTCAATAATGGAAAATTTAAAAATCTGGCCCAATTGGCATTTTGCAACTCATTTAAAAATATTTATTAGCTGACGCTTATCCTAACACTGTAATTGCTTTTCGCATCTTCCTCACTTTACCAGTTACAGTTACTACGTGTGAAGGAAGTTTCAATAAACTTAAGCTTTTAAAAAAACTACATAAGATCAACTATGGGCCAAGAAAATTTGAATTGTACTTTACACTTTATGAGATAAATTTTCTGATCAATAAATCATTTTTTAATTTTAATTTTTTTTCGGAGGAGGAAGGGGGAAACGCAATTTTTCTTACTTTTTCGAAGCGCAAAGTTGGCTCGGTACGGCCCTACTAACAGACTATTAAAAAGAAAAAGGACAATTTTAGTTGAATGGTAATCTTCATCAAGATTGTCCTTTCCTAATTTTTCTGCTCTTCTCATAAATGTTTCGATACAACCAGTGGCTGCATTGGACAAAACGAATGATTTGAGGCGTTTAATAAGATTGACTAGTTTTGGTTAAATTTTTCCAAATTTGTTATAATCCATTCCTAACTCCTGATTGTCAACAAAGCAAAGGTTAAAAAAATGATTTTAAACATTTGGTGTCTAAATCAAGGTGTTGCGATTAGTAAACTTTTAGAACAATACCAGTCATATCATGACTTGTTTTATTGTCCGCGTTATTTTAATACATTCAAATGTTACTGGATGTTATTTTTTAAGGGAAGTTTGGAGTTCACTTTGCTTTATATTAATTACATTGGTTTGCATATTATTTTATATTTTACTATCATACCAACAAGTTCATTAGTAAATAAAATTTTAAAAAATTCCGACGGGCCATTTGATGTTACAGACTTGTAAACAACTGGCTCACTATAAAAGATTTGCCTGCACATACTTGGTGCAGGCAAAAGAATATATTCTATGAATAATTGTATTTGTCTAACATAAATTATGAGTAATTTTCATTGTCTAACATAAGTTAAGAATATATATATATTTTTTTGTAGTTTTTTACTTGTAGATACAACAACAGAAACATATTAGTTATTTACACTTTGATCAATTTCAACAATTCATTTGTTTATAAGATCATCGTTATCCTGTTATGAAGAGATATCTAGTTACTTCAGCTAAAACTCTCCTATTCAGAGAAGATATCTATTTCTTCAGATTAATTTATTATATAAGTTTAATTAGTTATTATATAAGTTGAAGTTATCCTATTCAGAGGAGGTATCTAACTACTTGTGCTAAAGTTATACTATTCAGAGGAGGTATCTAATTACTTGTGCTGAAGTTATACTATTCAGAGGAGGTATCTAATTACTTGTGCTGAATATATCCTATTCAGAGCAGGTATCTAATTACTTGTGCTGAAGTTATCCTATTCAGAGGAGGTATCTAATTAATTGTGCTGAAGTTATCCTATTCAGAGGAGGTATCTAATTACTTGTGCTGAAGAAAAATCTATTTCAGTTATAGTTATTCTACAAGTAAAATTTAAATTTTCTTTAAAATAAAATAAATTTCTGAAAACCATTTTTTTTTCCCGAAAACGGGAAAAAGTGTCGAATATTTGGGCTAGGCAAAATATAGAGCATATCCGCTTATCAAATTAATAATTGTAAATTATCATAATTTATCAAAGCCAAGTTAAGTTTAGTTAATTGAATTCTAAGTTTTTAACTTGTTGCGTTAAACTATTACTCATGCAATGATTTAATTTTCTGATATGAATAATAATGGGTTTCCCCAATCGGTAAAAAGTAATAAATAACAATAAATAGTAAATTTTTATAAATTAATTTTATAAATTAATCATATTTGTTAATAAGTTTTGTTAAAGAGCGTTCGTATAAATGATAATGGTTTCTTTAATAACTTTTTTTCAGTAATTAATTTCAAATTCGGGATTTTTCATATTTATTTTTAATTATAAATATAAAAAAATAATGATAAAAATAAATGAATAAATAAAAAGTAAACAAATAAGTTATGTGAATGTTGTTTAAATTTAGCTTCCACATGTTACGGACGGTATTTGTTTATATTTTACGAAAAGATTTTATTTAAACATGTTTTTTTTATAACAATGCATGAGTGACCCTGAAAAAGCACATAAATATTTGTTTATTCATAGAAACACAGTGAGTCTTTTACAGGCACACCATTTCCGTGAACTTTCAGCACGTCGCACGCTGAGCCATACGGTTACAGAATTTGTTTAAGTAAATAAGTTCCAGTTTTAAATTCAGTGTAGGTAGAACTATACTGATTAATTCCTGGTAAAAAGGTTGCTTAAAAATTTTTTTTTTTTTAAAGCAAATCAAATTCCTTGTAAAATTTGTTTTGGAGTTTACAAAATTATTTGTTTGAAATCATTTTGATTGTTTTCATTTTCATTGTTTTAAAACTATGGTTTAATTCAATCACAGTCGAAAATGGTAGCTATATTTACTTATCAAAACAAGTTTTGTGAAAATAATAAAAAATGTTTCGTTGAGATTTATTCCAGATGTTTGGTATTTTTAACAATTAATTTAAAAGAATAATGATGATATTCTAATTAGGTTTAAAATAATTCAGCATGCAGCTTAGTTAATGTAACCTATTTAGTTATTTTCATAGTGATCCCTAAATACTTTTTTTATTGGGTTCTGTTTCCTTTCAAGTCCTCATGGGAATCAGATTATATTTTATTTAATTTTTTTGAAAAATAGAGTTAAAAACTCAGACGTTAAAATGAATTCATCTTTTTGATCTGAGTCGTAACTGCGGATACCCATCGATAATATAGTTTTTAAACCTTTTTTACTTTTAAATATTTTTAAATTAGCTAAAAATTTGATAATGAGTAAAATAAATTATCACTAAATCAATTAAAAATTAAAAATTAAAAAATATAAACTGACACAAAATAATATCCAATACATGCTTAATATAGAAATTGCATTAAAATGTTATAAAAAATAACAAATTATAATGTATGAGCAAGCGCGTTTACCATTTTCTAAAAATATTATTCTGTTTTTTTAATTTAATTTTTTATTTATTTTAGATTTCAGCCAAAAAATGGGCGAAAATTATTATCATTATATCAAGCACGTTTTTTGCAACAGCGACTGAAGTGAATAATGCTTTGGTTAAAGCCCCATATGATACCAATTACATGGTCCCCACTTATACTAATGTATTACCTTATATTTCACCATACTACGTTCCAGTTAGCAATAATGTCTATCAATCAAATAGAAATTATTTTTTAGCGCCTAGAAAGTATTTTCCAAAACAAACAAACGTGCTAACAAAAAAAAATCTTTTCCCTTCTAACGTAAACTATATAGAAAGTAAAACAAACATAGCTGGAGTTTCAGATCTGGCTACAATTCGTAACGGCAGTATTATGGAAACATCAAGCAAACCTCAGCCAATTTATTCAAAATGGAATATAATTTCGAAAAAAGTACCACAGGTGTCAAGGAGTTCAATTGCAAACAACAATTCCATAATCAGTTAGGACATACCCTTTTTTTATTTTGTGTTTTGGTGGGTGTAATTGCATTTCGGTGTGATTGTTTGTTGGTGTGGTTATTGGTAGATGCCATTTAGGGGCGGATCTATTTTTTTTTTGTGTTTATTAGGTAACTTCCAGACATGGAGCAAGCTTCAAAGATTTTTATTCTTATGCTTATGTCAAACAAGGATGCTTTGCTAAAAATTGTAATGATTGAAGCCTGATTTATAGCCCTCTCAATATGAGGGGATTACAAATCAGCAAAAAATTTGTAGCTTCTATTTTTACCAGACTCTAATCAATGCCGTTTTTTTCTGCATCCTTTCTTTGACATAGGTATAAATATATAAATGTTTGGAGTTTGCTAAATATCTGGAGGTTATCTCAAACACTAAAAAATGCTGGATCCGCTCCTGATGTGATTGTTGAGAACTGTAATTATTGGTGAGTGTAATTTTTTGATTGATGTAATTGTTAATAGATATGAATGCTTTTTGGTGTGGTAGTTGGTGGATGTAATATTACGGTGGGTAAAAGTGTTTTTTAGTTCGTTGCTGTTTTCTAACAGGCCTCCTATTTATATATATATTTTGTTTTTTCATAGTACTTTTATTAGTTATTGAAAACTACTTTTATTTAGAAACTTCAGATCTTTATCTTAAAAAAAAAAACTTTAATCAAGTCATTGAAAAAGTACTACGTAATAAAGGTAACTTTATAAGCAACAGCTGAGATCTATTGTGCGTCTTTGACATAGATCTTGGCTTTTTTTTGATTTGTGCTTAAATATGCTAATTTAACTATTTTTTCTAAATTACTTTATTTCATTTCCTTTCATTTTATTTCATCATTTTATTTCATCATATTTCAATTTTTTTTTACTCTTTTTCATTCTTTTTTAAAAACGAGAATTTCTTATTTCTCTCGAAAGTCTCGTTGATTTGGATATAAAGTTTACTTTTTTTTTTTAGGAAAAACCGCTGAGTCCATTTATGATCAAAATTTATTTAACATTGTAAAAGAGTTTACTGGATATGACACTTTAGAAATTGCAAATGCATATCATCTTTCTCCTGATCTGATCAGCTACATACAAGGTCACTCTTACCTTGAAATTTCATGGTGCTTTAAACTTCCTGCCAATATGACTTTTCAAAATACATTTTTAAAAATAAACGAAATGGAAAGTATAAACAAATTTACAATTTACAGCGCAACAGGGTCAAAAGAATGGCCATCAGGAAAAGAACTTCGCCATGTTGTATGCAATACAATATCAAAACAACCGATTTCGAGTAAATTTTACGAACAATTTCTTGTTCCTGCAAGATGCAAAGTTCTTGGAGTTAACGTCACTGAGTTTACAGCTATCAAAAAATTTCTTGAAATTGAGCAACTGGCCACGCGGTTTGAATTTGCACAAGCTTTAAGCATTGATATGGTCAAAAAACGTCTTCAACCAAAATTATTAGAAACAATAACAAAAAGATTAAAAAATTTTTCACTTAGTTCTATATTTAAACAACACCAACAGTTCAACAAGCATTTAAACGGCAGCATAAATCAACAAACGTTAAAATTCATGCAACAAAATTCTATAATAAAGCTGTTAGCTGAGACTTATAAGTTATCACAAAATGGTCTTGCATCAATTATGAAGTTTTATACACAAAAGTATCATAAAATTTCAATGATAAATAGTGTATCAGTGAAAAGCTTAGTTCATTTTTTGAGATTGTCACCAGAATCAAATGCATCATTTGGAGATATGTTTGAGAAATTATCACTTTCAATTCAAGATCTTCAACATAACATGGATTCTCCACTGATCATAATATTAGATAGAAACGGAGTTACGAAATCCATTAGCAACAAAACAATACTGAATGCAATTATTTCTTCTGCTAAAGAGCCAAGAGATGTACTCGTAGCATTTTATGAAATTACTCCTGAATTGGAACACTTTATTGAAAAGACTACGTTTTACCAATTAAAACAAATGCTCGGACAATCTGTGACGCGACTCAAACATTTGTCAATTAATTTTTTAGTAAATCTATTAAAAAAGCAAACAAAAAATAATCTTAGAAACGGTACGCTCAAATTTAGCCAAAATAACATCAATAATAATATATATAACGCGGCAAAAAATATAATAACCTATACCAAAATGTTTGAACTCCAAAGGATATACAAAAAAGAATTAGGTTTCAAAGATATCTATCAGCAAACTTTGATGTCTATTTCAAAACAGCAGGGATTATCGGGTAGAGAGTTTGTTCGTTTATACAATATGGAAGGAAAAAAATTAGACGAAGTTACTCGCTTTTCTAACTATTCTTTAAGCAAAATTAAACCTAGAATCCATGGCAACATATTAAACTACACACTGGAACAGTTAGCTCAACATGTTCGCGAGCAATTAAAACAAGTCGATATGAAAAATTCACCTGACTTATCAACTAAATCATTTAAAGTTATTGCAAAGAAAATCAAATCGCCTTTATCTGGATCGAGTAGATCAAGTACTACAGAAAGAGATGTCGATGCTTCAACTATAGATAAAAGATCAGGTAATTTAAATGCATCATTTAAAATAAAACTTTTTTATTTATTATAATTTTTTTTATATTGAGTGTTATATATATATATATATATATATATATATATATATATATATATATATATATATATATATATATATATATATATATATATATATAATACATATATATATATACATATATATATATATATATATATATATATATATATATACATATATATATATATATATATATATATATATATATATATATATATATATATATATATATATATATATATATATATATATATATATATATATATGTATATATATATATATATATATATATACATGTATATATATATATATATACATGTATATATATATATATATACATGTATATATATATATATATATATATATATATATATATATATATATATATATATATATATACATATATATATATATATATACATATATATATATATATATATATATATATGTATATATATATATATATATATATATATGTATATATATATATATATATATATATATATGTATATATATATATATATATATATATATATATATATATATACGTATATATATATATATATATATATATATATATATATATATATATATATATATATATATATATATATATATATATGTATATATATATATATATGTATATATATATATATATGTATATATATATATATATATATATATATATATATATATATATATATATATATATATATATATATATATATATATATATATATATATGTATATATATATATATATATATATATATATATATATATATATATATATATATATATATATATATATATATATATATACATGTATATATGTATAATTATTATTGTATTATTTTCTCGATTCAGATGGAGTTGGAATAAAACGTTCAATGATCATTGCTCCATCAGTTTTATGTGCTCTAGGAATTGTAGTTGGCGTTGCTTACGTTTATTACAATATTAAATGTAAACCAGAAAAATCTTCACTAAAAAGCATTTTTAAATGAACTGTCTTACAAAATGTTTCATAATACCTTTTTGACAAATTTGATTTGATCCAAAGTATGAAACATTAAAAAAATAAACTTTCCACAGGGTAACATAGCAATAAAATTTGAGATATGTCGGATATTAGCAACCGATAATAAGAACTGTTAAAATTTCCATTTTCAACGATCAAGCAAATGTTGTTGAGCAATATAGTTAAGTAAAGTTAAAAATGTAAATATATTTAAAGTAAAACAAAAATTCAAAATGGTTAGTTTGTGCTTTATCTATATAAACTATTTTGTAAAACCGGCAATATTTTTTACTTGTCGTAAACTCAGGTAAGCTATCTATAAAAGGTTAACTATATATCTAATTTAAACTTTATAAATAACTTACAGTCACAAAAGACACAAAGATAAGCGGAGGCACTGACGAATCATGTCATCGCTTTTTCAACTATTTATTCTTTACATGTATTTTTTATTTACTTTTTACTTATTTTATACTTACATTTTGTACTTTTAACTACTTATATTTTGTATTTGTATTTTATTATTTTATCCTTTATATAATTATATATCTATATTATTATTATTATTATTATTATTATTATTATTGCTATTATTATTATTATTATTATTATTGTTATTATTATTATTATTATTATTATTATTATTATTATTATATATATATATATATATATATATATATATATATATATATATATATATATATATATATATATATATATATATATATATATATATATATATATATATATATATATATATATATATATATATATGACATCGTAAAAATTTTTTGTCAAATTTGTGACTTTTGCTCTTAGTTTATCAGCTTTTCCTTATTCTCTAATAGGTAATCACACGATGTTATAATCTCATTTAATCTTTTATTTGATAATTTTTTTACATCACGTTTACCAATATTTTAAGGCAGACTAAAATTCCTTTTGTGGATTTCTTTCAGAGAGTTACTGAGCTAATAGTTTTTATCTCTCTGCTAAAAATTAAGCCTTCTATATAATCTTCCATAATTCGGCGTGCCTAAAAGATTTATTTCCAATTTGTCGGTTTCAATTTAAGCCACGCTCAACCAAATGATTTTCTTCTCTTGTGAAGCTGCTGTTTCTAATTGTAATAATGTTTTCGATATTTTAATTTTTAAACAACTTTTTCAATTTTTAGTTTATCCAGTTTTACGAGTTGAAAAGCACAAGTTTCAATATAAGTATAAAGTGCAAGAAATTTTGTTTAAGTGGTACAAAACTGATATTATGGAACATCTAGTTATTTGATTAAAATTATTTAACTCCCGACGGGGATTTGTTTTTAAAAGTTACGTTCTAAATGTGTTTTAAACGTCTTTTAAACATTAATGTTTAAAAGACGTTTAAAAGACATTTAAAATACATTTAGATCGTAACTTTTAAAAACAAATGCCCGTCGGGCTAACACTAAATAAAAACAAAAAGTGACTTATTAATTTGAATAGTTTTGTTAATGAAGCTAGGCAATCGAAAATAGATTCCATTGAATAACAAGTTTTATTTAATATATTTAATTTATATCCGTCCAAACCTATAGACCGTGCAAATCCTGTTTTTCTAGATAAATTAAACAATAACATTGATTCAAATTTATCATTTTTAAACATACACTAATTAACTAAACGTTTTGTTAAGTCTTTGCTATTTTTTGTACAAAAGCAAAATTAAAATAATAAAATTCAGTTCCTGGTTTTATCCTTACTGCTTGTAATAACGAAAGTGTTTGTGCAGAATATAGAAAGAAAAATCCTTATTATAACTATAATGCTAAAAACCGAATCAAAAAATTACTAAAGGTATGTAGTTTTCACGCTGGCTTTAAATTAAAAACTAAGGAATGATATTACTAACACAATGAATGGGGTTTATGAATTTTAAATGTATCGAAAAGATATATCAAAGCAATTACTATGTAATAATTTTTGTTCCTAGCTTTTAAGTGTTATATTTCAATTGCTTATGTCTAAAGTATGTGGAAAAATGACTTTATTAAGCACAAACTTTGCTTACACGATAACACCACGATGAAAGCGCTTGCCTTGCTGTTTGGAGTAAGCGTGCACATTCTCCTTGAGTTTGTTAAGATGAAAATCAAGGATATGGACTTTAGAGAAACTCTGCATCCCATTTTGGCGTAGTTCTTTTTAAGAGTCTGCACCTGAACAACTTCAACAAAACTTCTCTAAGCCGCTCTCTCCGCCCTGTTCAATAGCTTTGTAAAATCCTCATATTCTATCATTTTTTTGATCTGTGGTCCAACAGATATACCACCCTGAATTTAGCCTTGGACAGTTTTTGAAAAAAATTTTGGAGGTATTAAAGTACGGCTTTCTATCCCCAACAACATCTCCGGAATCATAGTCCATATCTTCAGCATCTGCCTTGCTATCTGACTTGCTGCTGTCTCCTGAAGATTGCCAATACCACCTTGGAGGAGTTGCAACAGGCAGATTGGGGCTGTGTGGTACTGGGGCAACGGACGGAGGTATGTCCGGATAAATGATCTGAGGGGCATTTTTACCGGTGTGACGATTATTATGTTTACCATGCAGAAATAGCAGTTGCTTGAGTGGTGTGTCGGCTATTATCAAATTCGTGGGATAGCAAACTTCATAGCTTGCTTCTCTCCTCTGTACCAACCTGTAACATATCACATAATAATACATAAGAATTATACTAATTTGAGGACAGAAGATTTCAAAATAGCAACGATTTCAAGATGAAACATATTTGTCTTTATAACATATCTTATGACAAAACAAAATTACAGCTCCTTGAAATGAACTAAATATAAAGCATTGAAACTTTATGAAAATAATTTAAAACACATCACAGCGAGTAGCAACTGTTCAGTTTGCCTTAAAGTGTTTTCTTGCAATATTTGCATGTGAAATGCGGTGCCCAAGATTTGTCTTGGTCTCCAACCAACACACTATGCGTTGCAAAGCTAAAATAGGATTTTACTTATTTTTCTTAAAATAATTAAAATCCTATTTCCGATTTTCAGGGGTAAAAAAACCCCGGTTTTTCACTAAGTCTTTATAATACATACAACAATTTTCATTTTTTTTCTTTTTTTTTGTGCATATTATCATATTATCAAGTAAATGATACATTCTGTAAATCAAAAACGAAGAAAAGAAAATAAAATGTTTGGATTGTTGTTTTTATGTGTCACTACAGAAGCAGCCAGTTTTTTATTTGTTATAATTGCAGAGGGTTTTATTGAAAACCGGTTAGTTAATGAGTATAAAAAACAAAATTGGGTGCGGAGCGGTACATTTGTTCCTAGTCTTTAGGTTATAACTTTTATGTTATGTGTGGTTTAATGTTTTAAAATGGTTACTTTTAATGTCAGCAAACTTTTGTTTGAATATACAAAACGTTTTTTGGTTAAAAATCAACAAAGTACAATATATTATAAAACATATTATACTCATTAGGGCGGTTCAAAACCATACTTTTTTTTTAATTTTGACAAGTAGCACTATGTGTGTTATTTGTTAGTAATTTTTAAATTGATATAATAAACTTTGAAGACTAAATTTTTTTTTACACACACCCCAAGGGGTTGCACCACACACCCTAATTTTTCCACAAAAAAAAAATTTGAAAAAAAAATTTTTTTTTTTTGCGTATACATTCTTTTAACAAAAGAACTTGAAAAAAAAAAAAAATTGTTGCTCAATTTCAGAATTATTAACTTCTTGCCTTAAATAAAGTTTCAAAATATCACGTCAACATAAGAACTTTTGCTATGATACTATGTAATTTTTTAGTTTATTCTATTTGTTGCATTTTAGTCTCTATACATAGTATATTTTGTGTTTGTGTATATATTTGTCTTCTTTTTATTTGTTAGTAATTAAAAATAAAATATAACTAATAATAAGCAACACATTGTATCATGGCAACATTTCATACTCGCAAAACTGACAACTTAACGTTTGAACAAGGCTCTAAATTTCCAAATGCAATGGTTCCGAAAAAAAGTGATGTTGCGAAATATTGCTACTATGTTCATAGAAATGAAGATGCTAAAGTTAAAGAATCAAGTTCTGCTCATAAATGTTACAGATTAGTTACCATTGAAATTGAAAATATTTGGCATAAATTCAGTTTTCCAACAATCGAAACAGAGGGAGTATTCTCATAAGTATTTAGATTAATAGAAAAAGCATCCAGTTTAAATAAAACTTCAAGACTTAAAAGAAATGCTAATTTTTATGATAAATTAAAAGCTTTTGACAACATGTTCAATATATGTTCATGCAATTGTTATGATTTAGGAGTAGAAAGATAAAAATGTAGATGTACTTCTAAAGTGCTAATAAAAAAGTGGGATGCGTTTGTTGGGCAAAAGAAACGCACAAATCAACTTGGACTACTTGATCGTGCCTACACATCTACTTTAAAGAAAACTGAAAGTAGAAAAAAATTGTAACTAGGCAAAAACAATTAAATACATATAAAAATGTTGAGAAAAACATTGATAGACAAATTACTGATGACAATTTCTATGAATCTGAGAATAATATCATATTAGATGAATCTAATAATGAATACGACAAGCTATATGACTCTGATGTCTTAAAAAAATGTAATCAAAATAGGTTTCATTACAATGAACTAGCAATCATAGCAGATTGTTATCATGTCAGTTACAGAACAACTGCTGCTATTGTCAATGCTGCTCTAAAAGACATGGGTATACTAAATAAATCAAATATGCTTGATAGGAAAAAAGTAGAAAGAGAAAGACTTTGTGTTGGACAAATAAATGTAAATGAAAGAAAATGAAAAAATTTGAAATTAAAATGTATTGATTTTGATGGAAGAAAAAACAATACAATAACAACTGCAGGGATAATTAAAGAAGAACATATCACAATTGTTAGAGAACAGCAGGTATATAGATTATCCAACACCTGATAATGGAACTTCTCGCTGCATTGCTAATGAAATTCTCTATTTAATATTTGAAACTGGCAGCAGCGGTTCTTTAAATGCTCTCTTATGTGATGCAACTGTAGTAAATACTGGAAAATTTGGAGGGGTGATATAATTAATTGAAACAGAACTCAAAAGATCTATGCAGTGGCTCGTTTGTCAACTACATTTAAATGAACTTCCTTTTAAACACGTATTTGAGTTGATTGATAGAAAAACTTCTGGCCCTGGATCATTTAAAGGTGAAA